AAAATTAAGTTTATTTTTATTTTATTTTTAGACTACGTGGAGAGGATGGCGCGTACGAAAGAGATGGCCTTTGAGAAGAACAACATTAGGAATAACATCTGGCATTGGTCAGAAGAAACCTCAACAACCACCTACCGGAACCAATACCGGAACCGTTCAGAGGAATGTCACCGCTGGTACAGGAACTGGAACTGGCACTCGTCCAAGACCGCAACCAATCGCTGGTACACCTCCTCCTGATCCTTCGGAAAAATGCGCCGATCAGAAAATGATCCAACAAACTTGTACCCTTTTTGGATTAGATTTAGTAAGTATCTAAATACCTAACACTATCTTTTATCTTTTTAAAGATCAAAGAAAAGATATAGTTTTTATATATAATAAATCCTTCTTTTTATTCAATTTCATATTTTAAACGTTGTATAAAATAACATAATATTATAATATTTAATGCTTTAATATTTCAGGTAGAATCGCAAATTTTATCATAAAATGTTGCAAGGGAAAACTTTCTAACTTAATATAATCTTTCTTTTATCATACAGGAACGGCCGCCACCTGTCCCTCCTAGTAGATCCTATACTGTGACCGGAAACACAAAACTCGGTTATCCGCAAACCAGGATTATGAAAATGCCTTTTCCAGGTAGGAAATGTTATTTAAAATTGTTTTTTGAAACATAAATAAATTATTAATATAAAACAAAGTTATTAATATCAGACAAATGTAGATATTTTATTATATCTAAATGCTAAAATTTATATTCTTTTTATTAAAAAATTGTATTTAAATATCTGATACAAATATATAATTAATACTAACTTAGTTCTAAGATACTTAATATAACGTTAGATTTTTAAATCATTAAATTTTCAAGTTTATATTTCGTAATATTTAGACTATGTAATTGATGCTCATGTAACAATAAATGTTTCCTACAGTTTAATACATGATTTTCAGAAGAAGGCGAAGGTGAAGTAGTTCTGTTGAAAGGAGAAACAGTTTTAGTCATAGGTGCATCGCCCAGACGAGGCCATCTTGTTGTGGAACATAACAATACCACTTTACATGTGCCGTATCAATTTATGGAGTTGAAACCTTGTAATATTAATGTTTAATGATATTTGCGCTGTTATTTATTTGATTTTATTTTTATAAAAGAAGGCTATTTAAAATATTGTTTTCTATTCAGTTTCAAGAAATTTATATTTGATTATTAATTTCTCGATCGAAAGCGCTTGTACAGAAATACCTAAAAATGTAAGAAAAGATAAGAATTCAAGTTTTATCTTGTATTCTTAAACAAAATTTTTATATTGTTTCAAATTTATTAATCCTCTATGGACGTAACTTTGAAGCAATATCTGCATACACATTAAGTCTTACATAAAGTCTCAATTTACAATTTACTATACAATTTTCAATTTACTTTTTAATATATATAAATTTAGTATAAGAGTCATATATATTGATATATGATTTCTAAATAAAAAAAATTAACAATAAATTATCGTTTTTGAAAATTTGTTTTATCGTATTATATAAATATTATTTTATTTTATTAATAATTATTTTTCATAAATATTTTTCATAAATTTTATCGTTCGTTCTTAAAAATAAAAAATTTTAATCACAGAGGATTGATAAAATAAAGTTGTTAAACTTTTTTCGACTATATATATTTTCTATAGAACTCGGCTGTTGTATTCTTCGCTCTATACGAAGTTGCTTGGTCTCGATCATACTTGTCATCTCCCGTCTGCCAATTAATTGCCATAAGATCGTCTCAGAGTATACCGGCAAAAGTTAGGGTAGGTGATTAGTATTAAGAGAGCGCCAGCGGCATCACTCGCGGTGGAGTCAGCTCTAAAGGACAGTGAACTTCGTCCTCTAATTAATTACACCTCCTGTTAAACGAGCTTAACGCGGAAGTCACAGCGGCCGTGCTTATCGCTCATTTCAGACACGGTATACTGATTTACCCTAAGCTGTTCGTCTTCCATGTAGATAAGATTCTCGCAAAGAAGTCTAGGATGCTTGATAAGAAAAGTATAAGCCAAAAATGCAAGGAAACTAAATTAAAGTCAAATAAAACATTTCTAAATTGATTACGGTATAAATTGAAAAAGAGAAGTGAAATTGAATAATAAGTTTAATTTAATTGAATAATAAGTTGGCACGTTTAATAAATTGCAATTTTTTTCACATGAATGTAAAATTTCGAATCTAATTTTTTTTCAACAATTTGGTAACTTTTTTTATTATAATATTATGTGTTATTATAATATAGTACAAATTTATAAGTAGTCTATCATATACATGTGAATACACTCAAATATAGTTTTCTCTTTATATTAAAAATAGTTTTATTAAATAGTTTGAAATAATAAAAAATGTACGGTTTACAATTATTTTTATCAAGTATTGTATAAACTTTTATATAGATTATTTTTGAAAATAATAAATATATGTATAATTGAGTAGGTTTCAGATTACTCATGTAATTTATATAAATATATATAGAATATACACTCCTCTCTCTCTCTCT